ACCCACCAGTTTGGCAGTAAATAGTAGAGAGAAAAATAATAATTGGACTTTGAAGAACTTCATAGCCTGGTCACCATATTGCAGCTGTGCAAATATTGACCCAGATGACGGATGGCAGCAGTGCGTCTCTTCATTGGGGCATCTCCACCGCCGTAAGCTGAGGAAAGATCCAAAGGAAGTGAGAGACCTTTCAGACTTGAGCGGAAAGCCCTTCGTTGGTTGGAGAATTGTGTACAGTGCAGAATGAAATGCTAAATTGTGTCCTCCACATTGCATACTGAACAGTTACTTGAATTGGCCAAGTTGAATCTCGCCAAATGAGCACATACACCAGCAGGTGGTGCACTAGCACCAACTTGTACTTGAACAGCCCGATTTTGCAGCCCGAACTTGAACGAGTTGTACAACCAAGACAGTATTCTTACGGACCAGGCAATAAGTTCAGCAGCTATCTCAATCAATCGTCAGTTATGGAAAGTCGGGTTCCAAAGGCCGGATCCCTTGTGAATCAAGTCACGAAAAATTCAAGAATCTGCAACAGGCCATGGGCCTATTTCTTCAGTGTCGACACTTCTATTCTATTCTATTTGTTCTCCAACTCTTAGGCGCAGGCGCGACACAGCGCACTCAACTGAGCGTGGCAGCACTCCATAGTCAACAAAGGCCATTTCATGTCCCAAACTTCTTCGGAAGGTCCCCTTGCAAGTTTCTAGCACGTCAGCTGCCCATTGGCGTGTCCATTCTTGTACCGTGTGAGACTTCAAGGAACAGATCCACTCCTCGAAACACAGCTGAGATCTTGCTTAGCGGTTGTTTGAACGTGCCAAATTTGCTACTCTGTCTGCGACCTAATTTCCACGAATACCACTGTGGCCTCTGACCCAGCAAAGCATCACCCTGTCAAGTCCCTTCACCAGCATCAACTTTTGCATCTCAAAGATAATTGTGCGATATGAGTGCCCAGATGAGTTGGATAAAAGCTGCGGAGCTAACCTTGAATCTGTCAGAATTAGGACGGACTCCTCCTTCAGAGATCTATTCTCAGTGGCAAGTTGCATGGCCTTGTGTACCTATAGCAACAAGCTCCGCACCGAGAACTGTGTGCTCTCGCCGGAGCAACCAGCCAGTCGCCAGCTGGGTTGAAGGAACAAAAAGTCCAGCTGAAACAGACCCATCTTCAGACTTAAAGCCATCAGTATAGATTTGGATATGTCTAGGATAGTGTCCCAGGAGAAAATCATCAATGCGATTCTGAATAATTTGATGAGGCATATTAATTAAGGAATTGTCTTGCAAGTTGAGAAGAATGTTCGCAGTGAGATCCACTTGAGGAGGGATCAGACCCATCAGAGGAGTTGACGATCGCCGAGGGAGCGAGAGGCCCAGCTTGCAAAAGCTATCATGAGCTCTGTTTACAAACGGTGGGTCACGGTGAAGTCCCTGATCAGTGAGTCCCAGCATGGTTGGCGCTTGGTCACCTTCAGGCATGTACAAATACCTTATGACCCATTTAATGAACAGATTTAAGAACAGCAGTTTCAGATGTGCAATGAAGCTCTCAACTTGCAGGGACACTATTGGTGTTGTACGGCGGGCTCCTTAGATGTATCGGAGGGCAGAGTTTTGAACAGTTTCAAGTTGTTTCAACACAACCTTAGAAATGTCCCATAAAATTGTTGAGCCATACTCCATCTTGCTCCTTATAAAGGCCACATATATTCTGCGCTACAATCGCCGAGAGGCCCTCCACTTCACCGAGCCAAGTGCACGAAGCATCTGCATTCGTTTCAAACAAGTGGTGCGTGTTATCCTGACGTGTTCCCGAAATGTAAGGCGAGGAGAGTCAAAATGAAATCCCAACATTTTTTGGCAGGCCACAAACAGTGGCCTTCAAGTGTGGTAGCAGGGGCTGTCCTGAGTGATGTGTATACCTGATACGAGCACTTTGCTGGGTTAAGCCGAAACTGCCAGCGAGTGCACCACTCACTTATCTCATCAAGACACCGCTGCATATGATGCCTAGCCTCAGCCAAGGAAGAACCATTGACGAAAAGTGTTATGTCATCCGCGTACCCCACCAGTGTCACATGTGGAGAGTGTGGAAGGTCATGAAGCATCACATTAAAGAGGGTGGGGGGAGAGTACAGCTCCTTGTGGAACTCCTACTCTCACTAGTTGGCACAACGGTTTAGAAACACCAACCTGTACTTGAACAATCCGATTTTGAAGGTAGTTGTACAACCAAGACAGCATTTGTTCCCCGACTCCAATGCGATGCAATTTAACAAGCAATCCTTCGTGCCAGACACTGTCAAATGTTCCTTAAATATCTAAGTATATAACCAAGCAATATTCATGACCAGTTCGAGCAGTGGTGATGGCGTTTTTCAACAGGTGCAAGGCATCAATTGTACTTTACGGATTCCTAGATGTAGAGAGGGAAAAACACTTTTACTTTCCAGAGTGTACTACAGACGACGCAGAACCATTCGCTCTAGAAGTTTACCCATGCACGGTAGGAGGGTGATGGGGCGGTATCCTGTCAACTGTTCTTGAGGTTTTCCTGGTTTTGGTATAGGAATTATAATGCCCTGCTTCCACGCATCTGTAACAAGTCCAGAGATCCAGATGGTATTTAGAAGTGCAAATAGCTCCTGCTTGCACCGCAAGGTAGCCTTTGTGAAGAAGATATTCATTATTGAATCATGACCAGGAGCTGTATTATTAAGTGCTCTGAGTGCCATAGAAAATTCACCCAATGTGGATGGTACACAGCTGTACTGTTTTAGATTGGCTATGGGTTTAACCATCTTTAGAACATCAGCCACACCTTCTTCATGTTCAGTGGTAGGAACATCAGCAGTAATATGGCTAGAGAAAAGGTTAGCTTTGGCAAGATTATCATCATGCACAGCACCATCCAATGGGTTGGAGAAACTGCTTATTGGCGTTCCTTGAATACTGCATATTTTCCGCCAAACTTTCCTAGTAGTTGTTGATGAAGACATGGTGCTCATGTACTCCATCCAGCTGGAGCGCTGTTTTTTGATTTTGAGATTTCGTGCCACAGCTTCAAACCGCTTGTATTCAACAAGATTTGCTGGAGTAGGCGAACGCTATAATTTCTCCTTAGCTTTACGTCTTACAGCCACTGCTTTAGAGCATTCACCATCCCACCATGGGGTGGAGAAGCGACAGTGTCTTTGTCCAGAACTGTGGGGCACTGACATAGAGGCAGCTTTCACTATGGAATTTGAAAGAGAAATATAGGCACTATTAGCATCTCTAAGGCTATACTCTGAAGGGGCAAGTGTCTCGTCGAGGAGTTGCTGATAATATGGCCAGTTAGCTTTATAAAGTTTCCATCGAACTGGTGTCTTTTCTGGAGACTTAACAATTTTAATGCCTATTTTGCAGCAAATAGGACAATGATCACTACCCAGATCTGGACGCCAATGATCTGAACGCCTATCTCGTGCCCGTGTAAAACTCAAGATAACGAGCCCTCGGTATCATCTCCACGTGCTTACGGTAACATCCATCCCCACGCGCCCTCGGTAACTTCTCCTCGTGCCTCCGGTAACCTCTCCCCGTGACGCCGACAACATCACGCACCTCGTGTGTCTCCCCACAACCACGAGTATCTCGCCCTCGTCTTCTCCAGGTCACCCGATTCCTCCGGGATCATCATCATCGAGCAGGTCACGTGAGCTCAATCAAATAAAGTCTAATTGTCAATTGTTGTTGAATTAATTTAACCTGACCAATTGATAGATCATTTGACTGCTAATAATCTCCTATCAGACTGTCAACATGGCTTTATTGCCGGGAGATCCTGCACCACTAACCTCTTGTCGACTCTGAACGAATGGACCCGCCTGCTGGACGAAAGGGAGCCAGTAGATGCAGTGTACCTCGATTTTGCCAAGGCATTTGACAGTGTCCCACATGAGCGGTTGTTGCGTAAATTGAAGTCTTTGGGAATTGAGAGTAATGTACTCAAATGGATCAGAGATTTTCTAGTAGGGAGGCGACAACGTGTCAGTATTAATGCGTCCGTATCAGACCTGTCTCTTATACACATCTAGATGTGTATAAGAGACAGCTGCATGGTCGCAACTGAACTGAGTGGACGAAAAACTTCATAGCCCGCGCACCATATTGCGCATGGCGCCACCTTCCTAGGACTAATGGCCGCCACGTGGCGCGCAATTCAAATAAGTAAGTTCCCGCGCCGCACCCTGTATTTTGAAGGCTTCATTTCAAACCCATTATTTGCCACCTTATTGGTGACCTAATTATCCCATTTCATGTCAAACCCATACCTTGCCACCTAATTGGTGAGAACATTTCTAACATTGCTCTTATGACTAATAACTCAACCTATAGTTCAACCTCACCATAATTTGGAAAATAAAATTATTGTTCAGATGGTTCAAGCTAACTCTAGCTCTGTCATAGGCTTCTTGCATACTTTGGTGGCGGATGAAATTGGTCGTGTATAATCCTGCATTGCCTCAGATTTCCATGTCCTAAACCTTTCTCTTATGTACATCTATTGCCAAGTTTTCGTGTCTAATCTAACCGTGTCTAATCAAGCATTCGTGTCCATTCCATAATTCGCGCGCATTTTAGTGCAAGCTATAACTGCATCGGCATCGAATCCCGTAACATAGAGTAATAATAATACGAAACTCAATGGCTACCCCAACTGCAGCTACCGTTGACAAAAAAAAACTCAACGCAACTGAGTGCTATTAGCGGGATGCCTTTCCAGGTAAAGACAAATAGAATAGACTTCCCCTGACTAATTCAATGTATTTTTCGCAATAAAATTGCATGGCATGTTAATGAAGGGCGTTTTGATTCACGTGATTTGCATTCTTCAGCAATTGATACACAATCGTTGTGTTAACCCAGCCAAATCTGTTGAGCCTCGACCATGAGTCATCTTCAATGTTTAAATTAGGCATAACTTCAATGACATGAATACTAAAGAACATTATTCGAAAATATTTTATTGTGGAAGTGTCAGTGAAAAGATACAATGACAATGGCGGTAGTAAGAAATGATTTCCTAAAAATGTAAGTACATATATGGGTTTTAATATAGAAAAAGTAACCTTTCTTATAATGAATTTCCTTAATTTATGAAACTTGGAAATGTTCATTGGCTCAATTATTAATCTAGTATGATGCGAATTATCTAATTATGATTTTTTATGTAATTCATCTGTACCTCATTTGAACTCTCATTCAAACCATTTGATTCTGCTCTGCATGGGATGTTTCTAAGTAAAACTTTTTCGCTTGCCTTTAACTTTTTTGGCACATAGAATGATGAGTCTAATAAGGGTTCGTCGATGGAAGACTATTCTGATGAATTTACAAGGTTTTGAACTTTGGTATGGATGAGTAATGCGAATAATCCTAAATGACAAGATTTTAGCTCCCGTATTAAATTTCAATCACCTATCTGACGACATTTGTATATAAATATAATTATTTGCAATAATTTGGTTTCAAATTACAGTTTAGCTCTGTCATTGGTGATTTTTCCACATACTATAACGTCGTTGCTAAGGCTGATCCACAACCTCTCTCAGGATCTTGAAAGTTGACTGGGCGATTTTTTTCGCCAGCGATTCCTCTATGTATTGAGTGTTGTACTGCATGGAGTGCATGAGCTGCCCGTTGAAGGTCTGTATGGTGCTCAACCAGATGAAGCACTCCTCCTGCACAGACGTGAATCGGTCGTAGTAGATCAGGTCGACATTATCGCCGCACTTGCCTATGAGCTTGGTCACGTCTCGCATGTTCGTAGTGCCGTAAGTCCCTATTTTGGGTGGAGGAGAATCCAAACCCTCTGAATCTATGAGGAAAAATGGGTTCTGTCCAGTCAGCTTTTCTATAACTGGGTGCTCGATGCTGGTTTTTCGGCTCTGTTGGTCTTTAAATTTCATGTGATACTTTTTCGCATGACTCCAAAAATTCTCCATGACGTCCTTCGGTACATCGTAGGTCACGTCTAAGACGCCCATTCCAAGGCCGTAGGCGTTTTCAACGTCGTTGAAATAGCAGCGTTGATCGATTGCATGATGGCCTGAAATCCTGTAGGTCTCCTGCATCAAGTTNAGTTACCCAAAGAAATATTAAATTACGTTTGTTTAATTCAATTCTAAATTAAATTGTAAACTAAATATTTCACTGCGATGACTGATAGGAGAATTCACATTTCGTGTTTAGATTCTCTTTAATGAATTTGTTAGCAACTGGAGAGTGAACAATACAGACGAAATTATTATTTAAAATATGTGGTTTACAGTAATCTTAAAATCATTTTATTTTCAGAGAGGTACTATAAAGCCATCAAAATCGCATCATTTCCATTCAATATATCCTGGAACACCGCGGTATAATTTTTATACATACAAGGGCATGCGTCGTCCTATTACATAAACACACTTTCTTTCATTCCGGCATTCCCGGGCTAACTTCAATGCTAGGTCAGGTGCTAAAATTAGATCACGTTCTCCCACACTTCAAAGGTGAGCTTCTCAACACACTCCAAGTTCTTACTCATTTGTGTTGTGGAATACTTTTAATTTGAAGTACTTGTGAAATAGACAAGGATAAGCCCATGTCCAACTTATTTAATGGTATCATTTCTGTGACATGTCGGACCTACAGGCTGAACCTATTTAACCCACAAGCTCTTAATTTTGGTACGTGTCTTTAATCTTCCGATATTCAGTAGAATACAGATTTACTGCATTACGGCTTCTTTATTTTAGGCTGCCCTTTTATGCTTGGTTAATAAATTCTCTTGTTTTTTTGACTGAATAATTGCCTCCACCCTAAACATACGAACCGCATAACCTTGACTATGATCCATAACATAAATAAATGTAAAAGTGGTGCTGGCTCACCGAACGCATTTTCATTTTTGTACGAGATCTTATTTTTTATCGCATTTTCTCATTTATGAAAAAAAGGCGCTATTATGCTAGCCAACCTCGTCCGTCCGTCCGTGACTTCACGAGAAAATTCGCTCTCTGTCACTCACTGCAGTGAGTACTGATCTATATTTTCTGGTATCGGCCGCGCGAACCGCCCAGGCCTTTCAGCCGCTATCACCCACACTTTTTAGAGCGGCCTCACTCAACCGAGATATGGCCCCACTCGTAACCGAGATATGGACCCACTCGTAACCGAGATAATTAAGGCCCCACTCGTAACCGAGATATGGCCCCACTCGTAACCGAGATATGGCCTCACTCGTAACCGAGATATGGCCCCACTCGTAACCGAGATATGGCCCGACTCGTAACCGAAAATGGCCCCACCCGTAACCGATGCATGGCCCAACTCGTAGCTAAAGTTTGAGAGGGATTTAGTAGGTCATGCCGTATTAGAATAGAATAGAAGTGTCGGCAATGAAGAAATAGGCCCATGGCCTGTTGCCGATTCTCTTACTTTAGGTGACTTGATTCACAAGGGATCCGGCCTTTGGAACCCGATCTTTCCATAACTGACGATTGATTGAGATAGCTGCTGGACTTATTGCCTGGTTTGTAATTTGCTAGGCATTTTAAGACTGAACATATGCTCCTGCATAGCTTCGGCTAGTCTGTTCTTGAAGGCTTTCTTACTCGGAGCGTCAACGATTCTATTAGGGAGGGTGTTCCACATATCGGTTGAGTAGTTAATGCGCATTTCTTCTCAACAGATCAGCATTTAATTACAATTTGGTCAGCGAAATACGTTCGATGATACTTTTCCGCTCAGGATTCAAGCGATCGTTACTATCATGCAACAATAAATAAAACAGGAAATACAAACTTTAGATCGTTTATTATTGAACCTAGCATAAAAGAATAAAATTCTAGTACATTTTCAACTGGGGTGAGATGCAAGTACATTAACTAATTACACAGATGAGCAGTACGCGTATCATGCAGCACAATCCACCTACTATGTAGTAGCCATTCATAAGCATTATATGTTTCTATGGTTAATTAGCGGGCCTAATTAGTCTATAGTTAATTAGAGCGACAAGCATTCTTCCTGTCGATGGCATTAAATGCGAGGTGGATTCAGAGAACACGAGTTTGGCACGGCAACACTATAGGTAATTATGACCGACGTATTTCCTGTCCCAGGTGAACATTTAAGCAGACTGATAATGGAAAAAATCAAAATAACTGGCCGGTGCGTGAGCCGATGAAACCAAGTATTTCTGGTTGCAAAGATTTTCGGCCCATCTGCAGGGTTTACATTCGTACTAATATTTATTAAGTAATTTGTTACATTGAGAAAAATAATGAGCCTTGTCTAAATATTGATGCATTTTCTTACATACACTATGAGCAGAAATGAACGTAGCGAAGATACACTTTTCGTACGGCCAAACTGGGTCAGAGTGACCAGCAATAAGGCAGTATCTTTGGACTAAAGTCCCACTTATCTTGTGCGAGTGCAGTCCACTGCTTCAAACATGCATACAAATAATGCTGCCTTGCCTTCAACATGACTTGCACAACGTCCACAGTCATTGCATAGAACCTTATTTGTGATAATACCCTGTCATGCCAGCGGAATTTTCAAATCTTTTTTTATCCAATGGCGCATGTAACACCAGATAATTTTTTACATATGAACATATATACCTAGCAACATTTCATCTAAGAAGAAGCCATTAGCTAATAACCTATCATATCTCTGTAATTGCACTTGAGTTGGCCACAGAAAATAAGCTCCAGGTCTCGAATTTATTATCAAGATAGCGTCGCAGTTTGCTGCTCATGAGCATCAAGGTCGATAAGTCTTCTCCTTTTGTGAAGCAATAATGTTGCTTTCATCTCTTCAATGACTCTTCCCATGACGTACACATTGTGCTTGCATGCTCACCAGCTGGCACTCGATTGCTCTCTTTAAGTTATTGCTATTAAGAAACTTGCTGATATCTAGAGCTTGCACAAGAATTGTACAGCATGGACCGTACCAGCAAAAAGTCAAGAGTTTGTAACTCAATCGGCAGATAACCGGCGACATTTCAGCCAAACCTACCAATCAGAGCGAGAATTCTGCCGCTGCATGTTTTTAAGTGACTGTTCTACGATCCCAGATGAGGAAAGTGGGTTGTTTTGATAAGACATCTAATCTAATTTCATGAGAACATTTGTGACACAAGTTAGGTTTTCCAAAGAAAACTCATAATGCAAGTAGAAATGCGTATGCTGAATGCTATTCATGAGAAACACAGTGTGATATTGTGGCCATGCATGATAACATCGCCATCATTTCAGTCGACCATACATGACTACATGAGACTTGCCTTTACTCAATTCAAGAAACAATTTTGTTGTGAGTTAATGAGCTCATATCAGAATTATTCAATTAATTAAAAGCATTTACCATGTTTATAATTGACAAAAAAACATGTGCACGATATTCATACATACTGCTTGTTAATGAATAACACGTTTTACGACAGAATACTTCCAGAAGATCCGTAAGTGGTGCAGTGGAGCTGTGTGGTGCAGTGGTGAGAGAATCTGTCTGTCGCACCCAGCTCCCGGGTTCGAGTCCCACTGAGGACAAGTTCTACCGGGAAGCTCAGCTCATGGTCAACTCAGCCATTCATCTAACTCCGGTAGATAAATGAGTACCTGGCTTGTCCAGGGTGTTGTGTAATGCAACCAAATGGTTCCGGCGGGTCAGCGAGCCAGTGATGGTCGTGGAACTACCAGTGGCACCGAGCGCCCGGAAAAACTGACCTATCGCCCCCCCCTCCCTAGTCGCCACTGCCAGGATGGGCTATTACAACAACAACAAGATCCGTAAGTGTTCGACGAAAATTTGAGAGAATTTACTGCGTTGCAGAGGTGTTACCGTACTGGCTGCTAAATAAGGACGACCTGCTCGTCTATTGCAAGTATATCGGGGTAAGTAAAAACCGCCATCACTCAGTAAATGGATGGGCCTAAAGGTCCAAGTAGTGAAATACTTTCTCTACGTAGCACTGGTACTCCGTTTTTGCCAGGCTAAAAGGAGTGAGGATGACCCACACAAGGAACAAAAGGTCCATCACTACTGAACAATTAAGTCATATTCATTTCTCTGAATGTTGTTTCGATGCTCGACGCGTGCCGGCACTCAAACTTATAATTACCATCACTCCAAATGATCCAAATGTTGACATAATGTCGTCATTGAAAATAAAATTGTCGCGATAAAATATTTCTAGTTGATAAGTGAATCGAATCGTCAAATGATTCTATAGTCAAACGTGCACTCCTTGAAGGGAAATTCGGTACGCAAGTTCAGAAGTTCTCAGGCCCATATTTGTATGTCAGCGGATAATTTGAAGGATCAGTTCTCGTGTCATAAGGAATCGATCCTTCTCATCATACACAAGTCATCGCGTGACATTACGTTTAAACATTTTTCGACATCTCAAAACCTGCATGATTCTCATTATTGTTGATAGACATATGCACCATAACATGATTCTACTTCGGATGTTTTATCGAGCCCATCTCTAGGATATCTAAAAATTCACCTTCTTCGTATTCCTTTCTTCCTCTTTACTTCCTAAATTTATTGAAATAACTAAAACGGCGCTGCGTTTCCTCGCTTAAGTAGCAATTCCCACTGCGGTAATCCCTGCCTATCGTGAGCCATACGTTTCAGACATCAGCCGCGATACATGAAATCCGCGAAGAATTGATTTACAGTTTCACGGCTCCATCCTGCTAAAGCGCGACCAGCCTGGCTAAACCCGGCGCCGGTCTCGGCTCAAAAATTTAACTGGGTATCGAGCCCATCTCTAGGATATCTAAAAATTCACCTTCTTCGTATTCCTTTCTTCCTCTTTAACCTCCAAAATTTATTGAAATAACTAAAACGGCACTGATTTTCCTCGCTTGAGTAGCAATTCCCACTGCGGTAATCCCTGCCTATCGTGAGCCATACGTTTCAGACATCAGCCGCGATACATGAAATCCGCGAAGAATTGATTTACTGATAGTATTTATTTAAGTTTTTATATTGTAATAGTTTGACAAGTTTTCATTGTTTCACGCATTTTTACAAACCCTTCTCACATTCCTACTGTCGATCGACT